TGCCAGACAAAATGGGTGAAAAAGTCCAGAGTCTTAAATTATACAATCTCAAAGGAAAACAAGCTAACAGGTTTTGGGGCTGCAACACCCCCTTCATCAGGACTAGAACAGATGTAAAATGTATAAAACAAAGTAATAGAGTTAATAATAAGATGGTCAAAAAAGATTATAAAGATCATTATAGCTAAATCATTATATACAGATTTTAGTTATAATGATCTTCATCATCTTTTTGTCCATCTTTTTATTAATTTGATAAATGTTTTAATATATTTTGTATGTGTTTTGTAGCCCTGATGAGGGGGAGCATTAATGTCCCCGAAACACATTGGCTGTTTTTTCTTTGCAATTGAATATTTAAAGACTCTTTGGACTTTTTCACCCATTTGGTCTGGCACCCGTTTCATATATGTTTACACTCTAAGCTTTTTCCTGGTACCCTACTAATGGAGACCCGTTGTGCTGTTGGAGACGCTTTACCAGAGCCAGTGAGCTTGCTTGGAAAACTTTGGTGCATTTAGGCTTTTGAATGAGCATTGAGATCCCAGCGCCTCTAATCATTTGGATCTGAAATGATACAGAGTATGGATATTGTGTGCTGTGTGAGAACACTGCTCTCAGATTCCTTGTTTTACAAGGAATTAGGAAAATGTAGGAAAATGTGAGATAGTGAAGCATGCAAAATATGTCTGATGTTTACATAAGCACGTCTACATTATTAAAATTAGCTTAAATCTCTTGTTTGCTCTGCAAAGCAACACTACATCATTTGTACATGGTAAGCCTGCTAGTCTATGAGCATACATACTGTATATACTGTATATATATATATATTTCTTTTTTATATATCTGTAGTTCTATAAGGGTCCAATTGCACTTTTGCAATTTAAACACATGCATTCCTGTTCGCTAGAAGGCATGAGTGGTGGTTCATCATAATAAAGACAGTGAGTTCCCATCTCAGCGCTACAGCGCATTTGCTTTTTAAAAGTATGACATGCCTGTTTTTGTTCTTGCATTTGGAGGCCTATAGAGTCAATGGCAAAGCATGAAAATGCATGAGTGTTTTTATGCATTGGCAACAGGTATTAAAACGACTTATAACGTCAAATTCTGTTCACTCAAGATACTAATATAAAACACATGGAAGAACGTGTCAACATGCGCCAATAACCCATGACAATGCAAAAAGGTATCATACACATGGCAACACACCTGCTACAAACAAATGGACCTCTACGCACATGCATAGATCTAAATGGACCCTTAAAGTTTTTGTACAAAATGTTAAAGAGAATTTGTCTGACATTTAAAGTACTCAAACATACACTTGTATTATAAAAGTTAGAAGTATTTTATTATACACTATTTCAATAATAAAAAAAAAATAATGAAATTTTCCCATTTCTACCAATGTCCACCTGATTTACATGAAGAAACTCAGGCATATAAGTCTACAATTCTATTTAACAACTTTTAGAGTCATCTATGCTTAAATATATCACTGACCGTCCATTAAATTCCTGATTTTTATACAATACTTGATGGTCCCCTCCTTTTTTATTTTTTTAGTAATGTATTTGATTGGAGCTCAAAGGGTGCTTTTCAATTATAAAAAGCATGTACACACACACACACACACACACACACACACACACACTATATATATATATATTAGGGTTGCACAGATACCAAGTACAGTACTCGGTACAAGTACGAGTACATGTACCGATACTTTTGAGCTCCAAGACTACACTAGAGAAAAATTCAAAAAATTATATGTGCACTGATTAATGCTCAGGAATGTCTGTTGGACACTGCTGACCTTTTTTTACTTGATTTACTGCCCGCTTTGCTTGAAAAAGTGTGACTTTTTCCCTCTACCTCTAATACAACACTGGCATATATAAGGCTGGCCAATCAGTGATACAATTCCACCAAGATTAGTGAGTAGTTAGTGCCCTGCCATCCCTCATCCAAATTCATGTTCTTCAGGACACAGCTAACCACTCTGCAGACCTTTTTTTAGATGCTACACTATTGTTGCAGGAACTACTTCTTTTTGTATGCAGACTGGAACTGGTCACTGCTTGATCAAACTGTAAGGCTATAGTGGGCCGTGTGTTACTGCACATGCACATGTCCTGTCTTCCACATTGCTGGAAAACATGCGGTAGTGCGCAGGCGCACCCAACATATCGTACAGGATGTGACGCCGCTGCACAGGATATGGCGCAACTCCTTCTGATTGATGGGCCTAGTTAAACCAGCGACTTGTCTCCTGCTTCCTGAAACTCTGTCTGTTTGATTATCTGTTGCCTTGACTTGGATTGCCTTTTGACTATGCCTGATTGCTGCCTGCCCCTGACCTCTGCTTGCTCCTGGACTTCGCCTCTCCCTTCTGCTCCTGTACCTCGCTGCCCGACTGGTGTGACTCCTGGCCTTCCTGAGTTCGCCTCTGCTTCCAATTAATACCATGTTTACCTTCAGCGTGATCCTGGTACTGCCTCATCTTCCCTGGGAACCTGCGGCTGGACTGTGTCCTGGCGTCTGTACAACCTTGGTACCTGTGCTACTCATTGTCCTTTCATTCCCTTTCTCCACTTTCAGGGGTACAGCACAAGAGGCACGAGGAAGGCCTCCTCAACTATCTGGTCTTCTACTAGGTACGTGATACAAAGACATTTTGAAGCTACTTTTGCAAGAGATAACAAATGCATCCTCCACCCATGCTAAACAACTATTAGATTTCTTTGGCTTGGTTATGGGTGTACCAAGGGTTGGTGAGCCATAAGGGCATACAAACCAAGAGTTAGCGAACTGTTGGCAAACTGTAAGGGCATACAAACCCAGAATTGACAAACTATAATGGCATACAAATCCAGAGTTGGAGAACTGTAAGGGTGCACAAACCCAGAGTTGGGGAACTGTAAGGGTGCACAAACCCAGAGTTGGGGAACTGTAAAGGTGTGCAAAACCAGAGTTGGTTAACTGTAAGGGTGCACAAAACCAGAGTTGGTGAACTGTAAGGGCAGAAAAACCCAGAGTTGGTGAACTATAAGGGCATAGAAACCTGGAGTTGGAGAACTGTAAGGGTGAGCAAACCCAAAATTGGCTAACTATAAGGGTGCGCAAACCCAGAGTTGGGGAACTGCAAGGGTGCACAAGCAGAGAGTTGGCGAACTGTAAGGGTGCACCACCCAGAGTTAGCTATCGGCAAGGGCATACAAACCCAGAGTTGGAGAATTGTAAGGGTACGTAAACCCAGAGTTGGCTAACAATAAGGGTGCACAAACCCAGAGTTGGGGAACTGCAAGGGTGCACAAACCCAGAGTTGGAGAACTGTAACGGTGCACAAGCAGAGAGTTGGCGAACTGTAAGGGTGCACCACCCAGAGTTAGCTAACTGCAAGGGCATACAAACCCAGAGATGGAGAACTATAAGGGCACACAAACCCAGATTTGGAGAGCTGTAATGGTGTACAAAGCTAGGGCTGGAAAACTGTAAAGGCGCAAAAACCCAGAGTTAGAGAACTGTAAGGGTGCACAAACCTAGAGTTATAGAACTGTAAGGGTGCAAAAAAACTAGAGTTATAGAACTGGAAGGGTGCACAAACCTAGAGTTATAGAACTGTAAGGGTGCACAAACCTAGAGTTATAGAACTGTAAGGGTGCACAAACCCAGAGTTGGTGAAATGTAAGAACACAAATCCAATAACAAAAACATTACAGGGAGGGCAATAATAAGGACCTAGACATTTGTATCGGAAGACAGAGTACCAGTCTGGAACCTTTTTCTACATGCAACCTAAGCTAGCTAAAAACTGACTAAAAGGCTTACTTTAGGCTTTAAAAAGGTGAAAAATCATCTAGAAATTATAGAGATTTCAGCAGCATTCAGATATAAAGACGTGCATATTATTTTAAAAAGGTTCACCGATCACAAACTGTGCTAGAACATTCTGAAGTTATTAGAATGGTTTGTGGTCACTGAACCGTACTCAACAAAAGAGATTCTAAATACCCTTCCAATCGGTTTTCCATGTCTAATGCTCTTTAAGAGCTGTAATTTTGAGCCTATTTGTTGTCACTTTTTTGGCAGGAGGATACAAACTATAAATCTTGGTGTATTTTTATTCCCTTTTAAGTTAAAAACATCTTTCCCGTGAGTGCTATGTCCTTTCTTCAAACTATTTGCCTTTACAAATAAATGTAAAATAGCTCTAGCAAAAAAAAAAAGAAAAAGAAAAGTGAATTGCTATGTAGGACTTCTCCACTCTGACTGGGAGACCGCCTACAAGCTATCAATAAGGTACATGAAGACATTATAGCATTCTGAATTGCAGCAAATTTCACAAGATGGATCTATTATTGAAGCACAGGTAGGGGATGTTTTAACAATAAAAAATCATGTATAAAGTTTCATAATTTGGACAAAGCAGAAATGATTGATTTTCTTTATATATGTCATAATCACAATATATGACAACTAAGCTACGGGGGATTTTATACAATGAGTGCAGGATGAAAACAATTGCATTTTCTAGATGGTGGGCTCACTTTGGTTGTCTTTGCAATGCAAATTTTTGACTTATCTTAGTGAATGACATGAAACAATGGGATTGATTACTAGGCAAATAGGCTGTTCACTTTGCAAGAGTGTTACCACTTTGCAAGGAAATTTTCCCTGAACTGAATTATAATTGTGGAGAAAATTCACTTTCCAAAGAATACCCAATTACGTGCAAGGAAAACTGAATTTTTGCTTGTACGTGGTTGCATGATAGAAGTCTGCAGAGATTCACCTCATTCGCTCAGCTAAGGGAAAATTCCCCTGCAAAGTGAATAGTCTATTTGCATCTAGTAAATCAACCCCAAAGTGAAAACTCACTTGGCAAAGAATACCCAATCATGTGCAAGGAAAACTAAAAAAAATGGATTTTTTTCTCTGCACCTGATTGGATGATAGAAGTCAGCACAACTTTATCTCATTCACTAAGGATGAGTGAAAATTCACTTTGAAAGTGAACATGCTCCTGTAGTAAATAACAGTCACTGTGGACTATTTTTAAATAGCCTGTATATATATTTTTAAGCATGTATTATAAAGGTGCACCGAAATGAACGTTTCCAAACTGAAATGAAACTAAAATGAAATAAAATATGTCAGACCGAAACCGAAAATGTTTTTTTTTCTAACTTTTTCAAATTCTTCAAAATATTTTTTTTTTATTTTATTTTTTATAAAATGTTTAATTTTTTTATAAACATAGAGTCCTCAATCTCCTTTTCTGTATCCCATGTTATCAATGAACAGGAATCCTCTATACTGAGTGTTCCTGTCCATTCATTACTTGTGGAGAGAGTATGTTTACTGTTTACTCATTCATACCATGAATGAACAGGAAATGATATAGATTACTTCCCATTCATTCATAATTGAGGATATAGTAAACATACTCTGTTCTCAATTATTTACAAACACTCAGCGATCACTGATCACTGATCACTGACTGCTTGTACCCACTATCCATTCTGACACGCTGTCACAGGAGGCTGGGCGGGGCTGTGCGGGAGGAGAGCTCAGCCTCCTGTGACAGCGTTGGCTGTCTCCGCCCACACCGCCCCTCTACGGATCTGTGACAGAAGGCTGAGCAGTGCGGGGAGGAGAGATGACGGCTGCTCACAGTGCTCCCCTCCCTGACCGCTCGGCCTCCTGTGACAGTATCTCTCCTCCCCGCTGGGACACAGTGCAGCACCCAGCGGGGAGGAGAGACACTAAGGATGCACTGCTATTTCGGCCAAAAAATGGCACTTTCTGCATTTTTCCAAAAGTGCCATTTTCAGCCGATATGTTTCAACGGCCGAAATTTTCGGTGCATCCCTAATGTATTATTGTATAAGGCCTATTTGTATGAAATCTACAGAATAACAGACTGGCTGGATCAGCAGTTGAAAATAAAGGCAAAAAAGACTAAAAAATTAAACCAATGCAGCCACTACATTAAGAGATTGGTAAACTGCAATCTGTTACAGTTTTACTTTTGGGATTACATATACTTTAAGGCTCTCTTTGCACTGCCCCAGTGGCTGCATGCAGTTTACGTGCGCTGCGTTAAAGCAGACCTTTACCCCCTTTGACCAAAAATCACATCAGCATATACCTCTACATGCTGTTATAAAATATTCTTATATTCATTAGCTAAACAAACATATTTTTATTTTACTTGCAATTTCTTTTTTTCCACTTCCTGGTCCACTTTGGCACAAATGATGTATGGTGCCCAAGCATTGCATCCTGGGAAGGTTACACCACACAGCATTGCTGGGAAATCTTATCTGTAATCTCACAAGATCTCAGGGAAAGGCATTTTCCTCCCCCTGAGATAATGTGCATGGTCACATGTCCTAGTCACATGTGCCAGAGTTCCAGGAAGTAAAGGAAGAGCTAGTAACCTGCCCTTAGTTAAAATGGCCATTGTCAGAAGACTGGGGAGGAAAAGAAAAATAAGGTGTGCAAGAAATACAAAGCCGGCAATTATCTAGAAGTATGTGTTTGCAGATTTTCATTACTAAACATTTCTAAAGGTGTGTTTGTTGTTATTTTTAAGATATGGGTACAGTTCCTTTTTAAGGTAGCTGATTGATTTTGAATAGACTGTCAATGCACCAAAAAAAGGAGATTGGGATACTTTTGCTTGCTGTGCAGTAGTGCCATTCTATATTCAAAATAAATGGCACCATATCACTCTGCGCCATGGGATGTGTGTTATCATGCATTACAGTAATGCGCACTGCAATGCACGTTTCACATTCACATTACCGCAATGCACAGATGTGCAGCCAGCCGGACACCCATTCCTTGTAGTTGAACCCTATTTTAAAGGTTTTCTGGCAGCCAAATCAGGGGCATCCCGGGGTCGGGTGTTACCCGGTCTCTAAACCGGGTGACACCCCACAGTGTCATCATCACGCGTGCACGGCCATCTAATTGACGCCTGTGGGCGGCCATCTTGGTGTTGGAGAGGAGGGGACGTTCACCCGACGGGATAAGGTATTCTTCCAGGTCCCCATCTCTCTCCTGACACTGTCGGGCTCTCGGTCCATGACCGAGTACCTGACTTTTTAGAGGGGGTGACACCAAAATGACAGTCAGTCATTTTGATGTCACCCGTACAACGGTGTCATCCGGGTGCGGGCCACACCCTCTTTGTGACGCCACTGAACCAAATATATTTCATGTTTCTTTAGTCCTGCAGATGATGATGACTCCACAAACCTCACCATTTGACTGTACATCCTGTATGTTCAGAGTAAAACAAAGGTTTTCAGTTACTCAAATCTTAGGGTTAGAGTCTTCCGGGATAACAAAAGATTACTGATTCTATCTTTGTTTCATTCTGCTTTCAGTCCTCTGTGCTGACGATAGCTGACAGCTGTACAGGTTCCCAGTCACCTCCATTCGCTGTCAATGACTAACAGCTATGATGTTATATGCAGTCTTATCGCTGGGGTTCAGTGTGAGGGCTATACTGGGGGACGAACCTGTAGCCTACCAGGTTTTCAGAAAGCCAGGAGACATCATGATCGGAGGCTTGTTTCCCTTCCACACCACCGTTAACGGCTTGGATAATTATTGGAAACCGGAACCACTGACATGTTTAAGGTAAGGCCAGAGACCATATAAGAGGAAGACATGCAACTGGCTTATTTCAGGAAACCCATACTGGAAGAAATATGGAGGCTGCTGATGCTTATCTTGTTCTGATAATGCTGGATGCCTGGCTGACTCTGGCTTCAATACTTTAAAAAAGAACTCCACAAAATGTAAAAATCAACCCTTGCAATGGGACTATCCTGCACTGCAGAGGTTAGCTGCTTGTTTTGGTCTAGAGCTGGGTAAAAGAAGACGAGCTCACCTCTCTGTCCCTCCGCTCAGGCGGTGCAATGTCCCTCAGCATCCTTATGTCTAATGCAGCTGCATTAGACGTGATGTCACAGGTCCTTAGACCACCAGAGCCTGGGTAAGAAGAAGCTGCGGGGACCGGTCTAGTAGCCAGGTTGGACCGTGGATTAGGTGAGTGTATTTTCTGTATTTTAGCCCCCTAGACCAATACAAGCAGTTAACCCTTGCCGTATGGGCTTAGCCTCACTGCAAAGGTTAATTTCTTCTTCTTCAGTGACCTAGAATGAGCATGCTAAAGTTCAGCAATCTTAATCTGCATATGTTTGTCCTGCCGGTGATTTAGAAGTCAATGGATCAGCATGACAGCCAGGAAAGTGTTATATTCGGGAGAGGTTAGCAATGGCAGCCTCAATCTCATTCTAATAATGTTAGTTGCCTGGCTTATCCTGGCTTCAATACTTTAAGACAATGACCTAGAATGAGCATGCTGAAGATCATTCATCTTAATTTTCTGCATGCATCTGCCCTGTTGGTAATTTAGAAGCCAAATGATCAGTATGACAGCCAGCGAAATGGTAGTCTCTAAGTTTGGTCATTTCAAGTTTCCTTTAGAGGATAACGATCAAGAAATGTTTTGTTTTCATATAGCTACATATAGGTGCTTGTTATATGTATATGTAGTTTTCATATATCGAACCTTGTCCATTTACTGCTGTATCATAGATGGTTCTACTGGTACTACCAAGGAGATGGGTGGAAAATTGGCATCCATTTACTGCTGTATAATGGATGGTTCTACCGGTACTGCCAAGGAGATGGGTGGAAAATTGGCATCCATTTACTGCTGTATAATGGATGGTTCTACCGGTACTGCCAAGGAGATGGGTGGGAGATTGGCGTCCATTTACTGCTGTATTGTGGATGGTTCTACTGGTACTACCAAGGAGATGGATGGAAAATTGCCATCCATTTACTGCTGTATAATGTATGGTTCTACCGGTACTGCCAAGGAGATGGGTGGAAAATTGGCATCCATTTACTGCTGTATCGTGGATGGTTCTAACGGTACTGCCAAGGAGATGGGTGGGAGATTGGCGTCCATTTAATGCTGTATCGTGGATGGTTCTACCGGTACTGCCAAGGAGATGGGTGGGAGATTGGCATCCATTTAATGCTGTATCGTGGATGGGTCTACCGGTACTGCCAAGGAGATGGGTGGGAGATTGGCGTCCATTTAATGCTGTATCGTGGATGGTTCTACCGGTACTACCAAGGAAATGGGTGGGAAATTGGCGTCCATTTACTGCTGTATCATGGATGGTTCTACTGGTACTACCAAGGAGATGGATGGAAAATTGCCATCCATTTTCTGGTGTATTGTGGATGGTTCTACTGGTAGTGCCAAGGAGATGGGTGGGAAATTGCCAATCAGCTGCAGTCACTGTCCGGGTATTCTGAAAGCTGCAGGCGACAGCTATTAGAATACAATAACCATCCGAGGAGATTCCTCTATCCATACTCTTTAGCATGGGTGGGGGTATCAAGTGAATTTTACAGTGTATGGCCAGCTTAACTCTGCTTTCTCCTCCGATCAACATGCTCCTTTTTTGAACATAAGCACTAGCTACTAGTGTTGCTTCTCCCTGTCCCAGTTTGAGCTCTGCCGTGCATGGAGCTTGATAATGCTGATACCAGGTCAACCTTCACTTGTACTTGCCTTCTATAAAGCCCGCTGCTACTCTTTATGATGGCGGGGACTACAGGTTTACTATAAGTTATGCTTACTAATGCTTGTATACTTCAGCTTAAACCCTACAGGTTTTCTCCAGGCTATAGCAATGAAATTTACCCTGGAAGAAATCAACAACAGCACTACCCTCCTTCCAGGATGGACTCTGGGCTACGAGATCTACGACACATGTGTTAATACACTGGTTGCGCTACACCCAGTCCTGCTCCTCTTAACCAAAAATGGCACAGAACACATGGAAATGAAATGTAACCTTACATACTACAGAACCAGAGTCATTGCTGTGATTGGACCTTCATCCAACGAGGTGGCCACTGTCATCATGAAGCTCTTCAGTGCTTTCCTTATGCCTCAAGTAGGTAGATGGTTGCAGAGGAGGGGAGGTTGTTCTGCTGTGTCTGCAGATGTATTCAATATCACCTTAAACATTTCCATTGACATGGGAGGTCAGGAGGGAATGTGGTGCATTGCAAAGCAGATGAGAAGGCTGCAAGTAACACAACAAATGTGTCCATGAGGGTAAATAATCATATATCTTTCTATGGCTTAACCTAACACCCTTGGTGACCAGATAGTGTTGAATCCTAAATGCCCAGAACAGGTATAGCAGTGTTGGTATGTATCAGTTAGCTTAAAAAAAAACTGTATGACTAATTTTTCTGATTTACAGCGGGTCAGGGAACCATGATATCCTGTTTTGGGGTGGCTCCTTTCCCTCGCAGGGTCCTATGGAGCCAACCTTGTGTGATATCCTATTTTAGGGTATTTTAGAGCCAACCTTGTGTGTACTAGTAAGCTGCCTCCACAAACACACAGGCACAGCAAGGCTTCCCTAGACGAGCATCCATTAATGTTTATTCTGCTTACCTGTTTTTAATCCCAAAATGCATTACGGTAATTTACATTTTTCAACATCAAACCTCATCAGCGACATAGTCGCCCACTCCCCTTTTTTGTTCAGGTCCTCCTGTAATGTTATACTGTCTACGCCCAAGTCTATTACCCTCCCGATTTTAGTATCCTCTGCAAACACAGATACATGGCTATTAACACCTTCCCCAATATCATTAATAAACAGGTTAAACAGTTTTGGGCCTAGCACAGAACCCTGGGGCATGCCACTCATTACTGTAGCCCATCGTGAAAAAGAGACATTTATCAATACTCTCTGGGCACGTTCCTGTAGCCAGTTCTCGATCCATGTATACACCATTTCATCTATGCCCATAGATCTCAGCTTGTGTATTAAGCGTTTAAGTGGTACTGTGTCAAATGCTTTTGCAAAATCCAGGTACACCACATCCACTGGTTTTCCTCTATCCAGATCTCTACTCACTTCTTCGTAGAATGTTAGTAGGTTGGTCTGACAAGAACGGTCCTTCATAAATCCATGTTTATTATCACTTATTATACCTTTGTCACAAACAAAATCCACTAAATAGTCCTTTATCATTCCCTCAAACAGTTTGCATACTATTGATGTTAGACTGACTGGTCTGTAGTTCCCAGGTTGGCTTCTTGAGCCTTTTTTGAATATCGGTACTACCATTGCCTTATGCCAGTCACTTGGTACCCTTCCAGTCATTAATAAGTCATTGAAAATAAGGAATAACGGTCTCCTTATAACATAGCCGAGCTCTTTAAGTACCCTGGCAGTGGCATAACAACCGACCCAGGCGGCCACTATGGGCATCCCTCTGATGCCGTGTGGGCCGCCTGGGTCGCTATGGCATATCAGTGTGCTGGCTGTCACTGACCCAGCTCCGCAGCGGCTGTGTCAGTGACAGCCAGCAGCTGCGGCTGATGAGGCCGGTTTCACCGGTGTTCGATCGAGAGTTCGAACTCATCGAGTTCTCGGACTGCCGCAGTGAAGGAGGAGGCGGGACCCGCCTAACAGCAACCCCGCCTCCTCTTACCTCATTAGCCAGCGACCTAAGAGCAGGTGGGGCCAGTGATGTAAGAGGAGGCGGGCCCGTCGATAGAAGAAGGCGGGGCCCGGGGACGGAAGAAGAGGGGGGCCCCAGCGACCACGCAGCCGGACAGCTCTGACAGGTAAGGTGTGCAGCCCATCTGAGACCCTGCAGAGCCCACTATAGAGAGTCTATGGTGGGCTCTGCATGGTCAGTCTCAGGTGAGCTCTGCAAGTGGCATAACTAGCCATCACGGGGCACCATACAAAATTTTGCTATGGGGCCCTGTGATTTCTAGTTACGCCCCTGTACCCTGGGGTGCAGGTTAAAACATGTCATGCTGTAAAGTATACTCAATTAATAAAACAAAAATAGCCATGATTTCCATAAAAGATTTTCAGGGTTTTTTACAAATGGGTGAAGAGTTTGGAGAAGGCAGGAGAAGGGAACAATCTAGAATAACATAGCTGAACTGGAAAGTGAGCTGAATTGGAGAATTTTTCCAAATCAGCTATTTTGGCATAGATTGTTCACTTCTCCTGGCTTCTCCAAATTCTTCACCCTTTTTTGAATAGACCTGTTTATTTTTTTTATTTTTGGAAGTTGTTCTTTAGCATCACACTTAAATAGAGCTTCTTGTCTCTTTTATTTTCAGATCAGTTATTCTGTAACCTCTGATGTATTTAGCGATAAAAGCACCTACCCTGCCTTCTTCCGAACCGTGCCAAGCGACAGTAAGCAAGTTAATGGAATGGTTGACTTGATGACACAGTTCAAGTGGAACTGGATAGCTGCTGTGGCCAGTGAGGATGATTATGGCGTTTCCGCTTTACAGCAGTTCTCATCTTCTGCCATGGGTAAAGGCATCTGTGTTGCCTATGAAGGTCTAATCCCAGAGATCACCTCAAGCTCTGACACAAGCACAGTCATTGAGGACATATTGGACAAAATAGATCAGGCTGATGTCAATGTCGTGCTTGTGTTTTCTTCCCTAACCCAATCCATAGCCCTTTTCAAAGAAGTCATTATGCGTAACATGACAAAAGTATGGATAGGAAGTGCCTCCTGGGTGCTCTCAGAAGCTATTTTCTCTTTGCCAGGCATTGAACGCGTTGGCACAGTGATAGGATTCTTCCCAAATGGCAACTATGTTTTTGGATTCGAGGAATTTTTAAAAAACGCCATCTCACAAATATACCCATCACAGTCTGCCCTCGAGTCTTTATCCTTGGGGACCAGTGAAGGTTATCAAAGTATTGATCTCAACCCAAATATAATCAGCAGTATATTAAACCCGCTGACTGCTTTGTATGCACATAGTGTATACACTGCTGTGTACGCAGTGGCTTATGCATTGCACAGTCTTCTTAACTGTACCTCCAAAAATTGCAACAACCAAGATTCCACCCTATATCCTTGGAAGGTAAGGCCCATATTTGGCTAACATGTTTTATACAGCATTACAATTTTGTTTAAATTAAAGGGTAACAAGGGCATTCATGCTTGGCAAACCAGTTTTGTGGGGACCCATCAAGTGAAATACAAGGATATGGACATTTCTTATTCATAAAGCACATTTCATTTTTGTATTTGTAAGGCTGTTTCCAAACAAAAGAGTAATATTTTTACAAGCTTGGAATAAGGGCCAAATTCTTATGAACTTTGATATTTCCTAATCAATTTGTTTATTATCAAATTCTTTTTTTATTCACCATGGTTTAATTATATGTTATTAGTATATTATTTAAAATATTCCCCCCCTCTTTTGTTGTTGGAAAGGCAATAAGTGTTTATTTGAATGCTGTTATGTTATGCCAAGGTGTGAGTGCCTACAGTTAAAGTTTATGCCCAGGTACCACCTGCATCTTAAAGTTAAACCTCAGGCAAACGGCTAGACCCATAGCTGTAATTCTTATATATGGCAACGGTTGTACCATGGGTGGCCCTAACTTATATGCCGCCTGTGGCTATAGGGCTGGGAGGGGGGTAGTTGGTGCTGATGATAGTGCTTCTCTTCTTGGGGGGGTGGGGGCGGAGCTGCTGGTGGTTGTCCAGGGAAGTGGAACGGGCGGATGCGGTGGCTGTGTTAGAGCGGTGCTGTCAGCAGCTCTCTGACCAGTCCTTCTATGTTTAATTTTCAAGCTTAAATGAACAAACTGAAGAGATAAGCTGATTAGTTACTTTTGGCAACTGCTCCAGATTCTGTTTGCTCCAGTTTTGATAAGTTCCACCCAATGTGTTAGTTTTAATGAATACATAAGTGGATTAAATATTGGTCTTTATTCCTCAGTCTGAAGCCAAGGTTTGAATTGGCGCTGGCTATTTCTAAGTCTTTGGAGGGCCTCTAGTGACCCCATTCATTTCAGGGGTTATTGTAAGCTTTGCTTATGTACAGGATTACGATATGAAGGACTCAAACTCCCCTACAGCTGTTACTTGTAGTTCTACAGGTATATACACATACTCTTACCCCCTGGTTCTGCAGGCATGCGGAGCTGTGCTGGTGCTTGTAGTCCTCCAGACATGTGCTCTGAACCTGACTCACTCTTGCACCTGTCTGCAAACTTTAGGCGTCAGCCGACCTCTCCTGCTGTTTCTTATGCAGCTTCTCGGCCAATCAGTGCAGTCTGCTTGTGGCCAATCCCGTGGATCCTCCCTCTTCCTGTCTCTTATTTAAACTCAGGGCAGCGAACACCACGCGGCCCGAGCAACGCTTTCCTAAGCTAGTTGCAGAGTCCCCCATTTGTGACTTACCCTGAATTCCTGGAAGTTTTCCCGTGTACCGAACCTTTGGCTTGTCCTTGGAAATCCCTGTCTACTGGCTGCCCTGTGCTTCCCTTTTGTCCTTGGAAATCCCTGTCTACAGGCTGCCCTCTGCTTCCCTTTTGTCCTTGGAAATCCCTGTCTATTGGCTGCCATGTGCTCCCCTTTTGTCCTTGGAAATCCCTGTCTACTGGCTGCCCTGTGCTTCCCTTTTGTCCTTGGAAATCCCTGTCTACAGGCTGCCCTCTGCTTCCCTTTTGTCCTTGGAAATCCCTGTCTACAGTCTACGCTGTACTTCACTTTGTCCCTGGAAGTCTTTAGCCTGTCACTAACCTTTGATTTGTACCCTGTACCTGTTAGGTGAGTTGGGTGGACCTAGGGATTGTGACCTGATGTCAGCACGCAGCCAAGTCCATCTCCACCATCAGGAGCTCTGGTGAATACCGTCTGGCTCCTAGATTCCACATCCTAGGGGACCCCATGCCACCTAATCAGCATTGCAGCACCCTGCCTTGTATTTGAACTTCAAGCGTATGCTGACTTCCACTGCCTCATTCACATACCTGCTCTGTTCTCTGCTTGTACTCCAGCTCTGGGAGTTGTCAGCCTACACTGCTTGGATCCTTTTCTCTAAGTTTCCCTGCCAGTGTAGTGGAAAGGGTCCACATACCTGACTCCAGTTTATACATGTGAGTCCCAATCCATGACATGCAGATGCAATAGTTATGGCATCCCCAAATAATCAAAATATAAGGGTACAGGAGTTGCTGTCTCATAGACAGTGTTTAACACTTTAGACTTGACTATAAAATAACATGTTCATTTTTATGATTATCTTTGACCATTTCTCTTTTAAATACTGTAGTTGCTTGATGAAGTGAAGAAAGTGAATTTCTCCATCTTTAACACATCGTTCAGGTTTGACAGTAATGGAAATCCCAACACAGGGTATGATATTGTTACTCACAGCTTGTCTAAGATGGGCTTCATCACAATCGGATCTTACGATACTAAACTGAAGTTGAATAGTTCTCTCATTAACTGGGGAACCAAAGAAAACCAGGTAATAAAGTACATATCTCTACGTACATATCAATCATATCTATTTTGTGACAAATTTTGTCAACATTTTACATCTCCATTCTGAATCTGAAATTAAAAGCCACTGGACCATTGGTTCAAAATCTGAACAAACACAATCTACAAAGTCTGCAAACACATTCAAAGGTCCCAGCCTTTGAATTAACATCTCTAATCCTTTGTTGTGTTTTCAAAGCTGTGGCAAAATTTATTCATAGCCTGCCTACATCTAAAAATGTGTAATCTCCAATGATTAAAGTGACACTAAACTCACTAAACTCAATCTTAAATCTAGAGCATCATGCACATGGATGTCTGGGGAATCTTGCGGCAGGAATCCCAGGTGTGTCCGTACAGATGCGGCTGCTGTGCCTATTCAAGTTAAAGTGACACCAAACTCAAGAGATAAATCTTAAAAATACATTCAAGTACCTTAACTATTAACAAAATGTATCTTATTTGTGTATCACTCGGCTGTAGATCCTCAAATCATCTCTGAATTGGTGCTGACACTGTCCTTCCTTCTGGAGGGTGGCTACTTTTGTTCCCCATGGTCCCTGTGTGTGTTGTAAAGTAGTCACCGTTCCAAGCTCACTCTCGTGATGGACTACAATATCACATTTAGCTAGCTATTTTGTATTGAAGATATTATAGTCCATTACAGGAGTGAGCTTGGAGCAGTGACTACTTTACAACACATGCACAGGGACCATGGGGAACAAAAGAT